CCCCCCCTGGGAAACCCCCCGGGGGGGGGGCAAAAAAAGGTTTCCCCCCCCCGGCCCTTTTTTTTTCCTTTTTAAAGGGGGGCCCCTTTTTTTTGGGGGCCGGAGGGCCCTTAAAAAAAGTTTTTTTTTTTTTTTTTTTAAAAACCCTTGGCTTTGGGGGGGGGGCCCTTTCCGGGGGAAAAAGGGGTTTGAACCCCTAACCCCCCGGGGGGGGTTTTAAATTTCCCAAATTGGGGGCCTTTTTCCCCCGGGTTTTTCCCAAAATTTTAACGGGGGTGTTTTTTGGGGGCCCTTTTGGGGGCTTTTTTTGGGTTTTTTTCAAAAAATTCCCCCCCCCAAAATGGGGGGGAAATTTTCCCCTTGCCAAATTGGTTTTTTTTGAAAAAAAAAAAAAATTTTTTTTTTTTGGGGGGGGAAGTTTTTTTTTAGGGGGAAACTTGGAAACCCTTGGGGGGGTTTTAAAAAATTTTCCTTTTTTCTGAAAGGGGGGGGGTTAATTTTTTAAAAAAAAAAGGGGTTTTTTAAGGCCCCCTTTTTTTTTTTTTTTTTTTTTTTTTTTTTTTTTTTTTTTTTTAAAAGGATTTTACCGGTTAATTTGAAGGGGGGTTTTTTTTTTTTTTTTTTTTTTTTTTTTTTTTTTTGATGCTGATCACAGTTAAACTTTTGTGAAATGGGTCTATCATAAATGTGAATATTTGTATGTTTAAATACACTAGCGTTGTATAAATGGTTTTTTTTTTTTTTTTTTTTTTTTTCCCTTCCCAGTTTAAATTACTTTAGGTGTGCTAAATTTAATGGAAATTCAAATTAAAACAATCTTTGTTTTATACATGTAATTTAAAGGATGGCAGTTTAGTCTAGGGCTGCCCAATGCATCATTTCAGCATTGATGTTGCAATGTGTGCTTTCACCGGTCATCATGCAGCATCTGCAATGTGGAGCTGGAATTGTTGATCAGCAATGAAGAATGTACAGCGTTTACATTTTAAGTTTGATTTATTCAATTAATAGGAGCATCACAAAATGGCATTATGCATGAGGTGGTGCTTGTAATGGTGGATTGATCATATCAATGTTTCAATTCTATGAAATGTGTAGTGTTAAAAGAAATGAGTTTTATAGCATATATATATATATATATATATATATATATATATATATATTTTTTTTTTTTTATTATTATTTTTTTTCCCCCTCATTTACAGATCATGATATTATGGATGGTTCTTTAAATATATCTGTTTTTTTTTTTTTTTTTATCGGGGGGGGGCAAACTATCATGATAATATATTGTATTACTGTAAATTAATACCTGACTGCTTCACGTTTATCTTTGCTCAATTTCTCAATCTATCCTTTGAGATTGCAATCAAAGTTAATGATTTTATTCCAAATAGAGACATTCTGCTGAAATGTATTCATGTTGCAATATAAATCGCAGCATCTGATTTTCCCAATATCGTTCAGCCCTAGTTTAGTTCCCTGTGAAAAAAATTGCAATATTAAGAATTAGGTCGGCATGTTTCAACTAAGTTGGACTTTCAAAGTTGTAACAGCATTTCATGCGGATTAAAAAGAAATAAAATGGTTTGGATTTAGTTTTTTTTGCCACTCGAAGATACTTGACCTCTTAACTTTAAAACCATAGCATTACACCTTCCATTTTTAATTTATTGTTTTGAGTTTTTTTATTATTATTATTTTTTTTACAAATAAAAAATACATTGCATAACCTAGATGAGTAAAGCTACTTGGTTCCTACCAAATTGTCAATATTGACAATACATGAAGACGAAAATGATAAGCAAATTAGTATTGATAGCTTGAATGGTTTGCCGATTTACATTTATGGTGAAAATAGGGAAACAGGAAGAGCCTCATATCCTCTGTGTGTTGAGTGATTTAACCACACTTGTGGTCTTGGCCACTTGAGAGTGAGTGAGTGTGGCTGGAAATAAGTGTACAAGATGGTCTGACAGATGCTAAACCTCAGTACCCTTATAATGCTCACTCAATCAACACTGCATAACCATATTTGAGGCTTAGCATATCCCATCATTCATCATGCTTAGAGACTTGCATTTTCTGATCTAGGGAAATGTTATAAAGCAACTTAAAGAGTTCACACACAATTGTTAATAGTTTTTTTTTTCCACAAACCGGAGTTTGAGTTTTTATTGTCTGTTAAACACACAGATATGCTAAAAATGTCAACGTGGTTATAGTGTGTGGATGTCAATGGCTGCTTTTTCCCTCCTACATTCTTCAGAAAATGTTTTTGGGTGATTTATTATGATGAGGGTTGCACATTTTGTTGACCCTCAAATTAGTGTATTTTGACAGGTTTGCACCTGCTTTCTATTACATAATTAGAAGCACCACGATTAATTTGTCATTCATACGGAACACTGAACAGATGTTTATTGTAAAGTACATTGTACACTGAAAATATGCTGGATTCCACACGTTCCATTTGTGTTTTGTACAAAATGAAAGAATTAAGTTATTAATAAAGTTGTTTGAACATACATAATAATAATTATCAATAATTTTGTAATAATTTTATTGCTTCAGCTCATTTTAAATTGGTTTGAATGAGCAAAAAATAAATAAATTGTGCGTGTACTGTATGTATAAAATACAGTATGTAAATTAAGCTCTGTAAACTCTTTCCTTGTATTTTTAAAACACTCCTCCAGTTGCAAAGACAATGCTTAAGGCGATTCTTAGAGTAAATCGAATGTTTGAGCTGTCTAAACTGTAAATAACTTGCAATTAGATACCTTAAAATCCCTTAGTGGCATTGCTTTGTCTCCAGAATTCACACCAATATCGTTTTTTTTTTTTTTTGTTTTTTGTTTTTTTTTAAAGTAGCTTTAATATGAAATTTAACTACGTTCTTGTCCTGATGTTTTTCAGAAAACAATAGTTACAATATTCCTTTCAGCATGATAGGGCAAAGACTAGGTTCCAAATAGTCCAAGTATGGAGTCCAAACTTTGAAAAAATGTTCTGTTTTTTTGTGTAAAACATGGGTAAGATGTTCCAGAGGAAACAACTCAAAAATTATCTTGTGCCAACCTTTAAGTGATGGAGATTTATCACTAATCCAATTAAGCAAAATATTTTTTCTGGCAGCAAAAGTCAGTATATTATACAATTTCTTATTAGCCGATGAAAGAATGCGTCCATTAGGTATACCCAAAATCAACAAAACTGGGTCTAAATCCAATGGCATGTTAAAGATCTTTTCCATTTCCCCCAGCACCAAGGACCAGAATCTTTGTAGCTTGTTACATGACCACATACAATGTGTTAAAGTACCTACATCAATTTTACATTTTAAACACATAGGTGAATTAGAAGGATTAAATAGATGTCTGCGGTTAGGGGAGACATGAAGTATGTGTATTATTTTATATTGTATTTCCTTTGTACGTGTACAAACAGATATTTTCTTAGCATTAGACCAAATATCATCCCATGTTTCCTCATCAATATTAGTAACCAACTCCTTCTCCCATTTGGTTTTAATTCTTTGTATGTCAGGGGATGGGATTGAGCATACAGACGCATAAAATCGACCCACAGAAATCTTTCCAGATGATAAAAATAATAACCTCTCAATAGAGGATATCTCACAATTTTTAACAAGTGTTGTGCTGTTAGTGATGTAATGTCTCAATTGAAGAAAACGAAAAAAATCATTTTTGACTAACTGACAATCCTTCATTTTAGATTGACTGGGATGATTTTGTGAGGGAGTGAAGGATTATTATAGTTAACAATAGTAAACTTGCTTTCCTAAATATTAATAAGTAAAATATAATAAATAAAATTACAAGCATGCTGTATATAAATACAATACAGCAAAGAAAAAAGTTGATCATAGTTCTCTTGAAAGTCTAACAGTATTCAGTTATACATATATCTTGAATAATCAAATGTAACACACTGCATATTCATTGTATAATACAATAAATTTAACCTTTATTAAAGTTTAAAACATTATAATTTCTTGTAGCTGTGTTTTTTTATACTCTGAAATATTGAAATATCCACACAGTCACAGGCTTTAAAGGAATAGTTCACCCAAAAACTTGAATTTACTCACCCCTTCACTTGTTTCAGATGTTTATGAGTTATTAAAATATCTTCTTTTGTCTTCAACGGCAAAAAAATAAACTCATAAACATTGTAATGTTTAATTTTGGGTGAACTATCCCTTTAAAAACACATGCATATGATAATCCTTCAATAATGATTTCATTGATTATAATCCTCTATGGGCAAGTACAGCAAGTAGGTCGCTATTTTAAGGAGAGGGGTCTGGCTGCAGAATCGGTGCAGATGCAATCTGAGCTGTATCCAATGCTTTTTAATGAGCTCACCAATCCCACCCCTAATCCCACCCTTCACAGTGACGTTACTAGCTCCACTGAGTGCATTGTGTCTGACGTTGCATCTCTGAGCGATGCTATCTCAGCTTGCATCATAAAGGCTGCATCCAGATACTATTGTTTTTGAGTGATGGCTGGGTCAGTTGCCGTTTCTGTGTGGAGTTTG